TTTCCTAAAAAAAAAAAAAAAAAAACAGTATATATTTATAAATTTATTTTATATTTTCGATGAAATTACCTAAAAAGTCCAGCAACCTTAAATTAAATATTTATTGGAAATATAATAAACTATAAATTGAAAAATAATAAAATAATAATGATAGGTGGGACATATTCCCATGGTACGAAATTTCCCATCTATCACAGGTTGGTTACACTTTTTATTTTTTTTATTATTTTTATTTTTATGTTAACAAGAAAACGAGAACAAACCTAGTACTCATATATAATAAAATATATTTTTTTTTTCTCCCAATACTTTTAATATTAATAAATTTATAAATTATAGCTTCACGCTTTGGGATTTGGATTATTTTTTTAAAATTTAGGTGAATTTATGCGACTTCATACTTAATTGCCATTCATTTATGTTTTTTTATAATAAAAATCTCGTATTTATCAATTAAATAAATTATAATATTAGTTTAATATTTTATTGACCAACCATTTGTAAATTAAATAAATAAAATTGTCACAAAATTTATAACATAGATTTAATCAATTTTTATATTTAATAAGATTTACTATTCAAATGGATAAATCATTAAATAATGAAAACCAATTTGAATACATTTAGGAATGTTGCATTCCTTCCTGTCTCTCCACAATCGTCGTGGGATCTCACAATTCATCCACCTATTAGGAGGTTGACGTCCTCGCTATCATAATGGGGTCTCACAATCAAGGGCCTAGCGTCCTCGTAAGCACAACACCCCGATATCTAGCTCCGATGCCATTTGTAACAACTCAAAATTCATTATCAATAGATATCGTCCTTCATACTATCCAGTGTTTGACTCTGATACCATTTGTAACAATCTCAATCCACACAGTAGCAGATATTATCCACTTTTGTCTGTTACATATAATCATTAATCTCATAGTTTTAAAACACTTTTATTAGGGAAATTTTAAGAAGTGAACATCTTTCTGAGTGCAGGGTGGGATAGGGGAAAGAATAAGAAAGTTGATTTCATCATATTTCTGACTTGGAACGGGTCCTATCACAAGAATAAAGACAGATTGCCCCTTGTTTCTTTAATTTCGGGAGAAATACGATCGGGGCTAATTCAAATCGTAAAATAAGAACAATACCAAATTCAAACGGCCCCTTTTCCCATTCGCAAGAACTTGTTTCAGTTGCATATATCATAAGGAGTTCGAACAACTACTTCAAATACAGTATCAGGAAGTACCGCTTGTGGAACCTCGATATCCACGGGCTAAATGGTTCATTCATCTTTCGAACTGATGTTCAACGAATTGTGAATCTAAAAACACAAAACATATTTAAAAATTGGAAAAATGGTCCTCCCCTCAATTAGAAGAAGTAATTGGAAGAATAGACCTTTGTTTATACAAAATTAGAAAAAGAAGCCATTGAAGAGAAGAGAAGAGGAGAGGAAGAAGAGAGAAACAGAGTGCTCCAAAGAGCGCTCTCCCCATTGCAATTCTCCCCATCTCAGAGAGAGAGAGAGAGAAAGAGAGAGAGACGGCGACAGCACTTGCAGGCAGAGATGGACAGACAACAGAGGCGTCTGAGAAAGCCATATTTTGGGGATTTGGTAACGTTAAGTCAGCTCCCTTAATACAGAAGAGAGAGAGGGAGAGGCAGAGGCAATGAAATTAAAGACACCAACAAAATTTGCCCCCAGAACAACCCTTTCTCGCAAACGAAATAACAACCTGATTTGTAACCGAAGCACAGCAGATAACAATAATCACACCCACACTCTGTTACAGTCCTTAAAAAAATAACTTCTACTCCTAATTATCATTTCTGAGCTTTTTTTTTTTCTTTTCCTCTCTCTCTCTCTCTCTCTCTCTCTCTCTCTCTCGCTTTCTTTCTTCTGGGTATTGTCCTTTGATCGGTAAATGGGGTAGCCGGATTCTGGTCTATTTTCATTTGTTCTTGTTCTTGTTGTTTTTTATTCTCCTGGCATTCCAGACCCATTTGAATTGAATGACGCTTTCAGAGCAGAATCCGGCGGAGTTTCATAAAGGTGAGAGACCCTGAAATTTCTTCTCTGTTTTCTGATATGGGTTTTAGCAGAAACCGAGGAATTTTGTAAATTCCGACCAGTTTTTGGAGTGTTTGATTGTTTTTGCTTGGTGGGTAGGTTTGGAAGGTGAGGGTCTGTTTGAGGAGCTATGGAAGGCTTGTGCAGGGCCTCTTGTTGAAGTTCCTTTCAATGGAGAAAGGGTTTTTTACTTCCCTCAAGGGCATATGGAACAAGTATTTTCAACTCTCTTCCATTTCAAACTTGAAAACCTTCAATTCTTTGAGGCTGAGATTTCTTCTGTTTGTTTGTTCTTCATCAGCTGGAAGAGTCAACAAATCATGAACTCAATCACCAAATCCCTCATTTTGATCTTCCTTCTAAGATCCTCTGTCGTGTCGTGAACATTCGTTTGTTGGTAATTATTACCCTTTTTTTTTTGTTGTTCTTGTCCCTCTGCTGTTTTTTTTGTTGATTCTTCCAATTTTCAGGCTGAAAAGGAAACGGATGAGGTCTATGCTCAAATCACTTTACAACCAGAAGCTGATGTATGTATATGTTTGGTTTTAATGTTGTTCTGTTGTTTGTTGTTTGGTTGTAATGTTTTTTGGTGGGTGGATGAGCAGCAAAGTGAGCCGCAATGCCCTGATCCAGAGCCGCCTGAGCGGACAAGGCCAACTGTTCATTCTTTTTGTAAGATTTTGACAGCTTCTGATACTAGCACTCATGGAGGTTTCTCTGTTCTTAAAAAACATGCCACTGAATGCCTTCCTCCCCTTGTAAGCTCAATTCTTGTCTTGTTTTTGTGTCTTTTTTGGTTTGGTTTCTTAATGTTTGTCTGTTCTAAACTAATCCTAGGACATGAGTCAGTCCACCCCAACTCAGGAGCTAGCTGCCAAGGATCTTCATGGACATGAGTGGAAATTTAAGCATATTTTCAGAGGTACACTTAAGCTGATCATGATGACCAAAGCTGTCTGTTCTTCTCTGTTTGATCTTATGTTTTGGAACCAGGTCAACCACGGAGGCATTTGCTAACAACAGGGTGGAGTACGTTCGTCGTATCGAAACGACTCGTTGCTGGGGATGCCTTTGTGTTCTTAAGGTTCATATATGGATACTTAGATACAGAGAGTTCATTATTGTTTTGCATTTTGTTGTATGAAAAATGACAATTGATTCACTTTTGTTAGGGGTGACAATGGGGAACTAAGAGTCGGGGTTCGACGACAGGCTCGACAGCAGAGTTTGATGCCTTCCTCTGTGATATCTAGCCATAGTATGCATCTTGGAGTTCTTGCTACTGCTTCTCATGCTGTTCGTACGCAGACGTTTTTTGTTGTGTATTACAAGCCGAGGTTTGTTTCTGCACGTTAAATCCTTGGCTTTTTGGTACGATTTAGCCGTAACGAATCGTCATCGACAGAACTAGCCAATTCATCATCGGCTTAAACAAATACTTGGAAACGATCAAGAACGGATATGAAGTCGGGATGCGGTTTAAGATGAGATTTGAAGGAGAGGAATCACCAGAGAGAAGGTTCACTGGTACTATTGTTGGTGTTGGAGACATATCCCCAATTTGGTCTGATTCTAACTGGCGATCAC